TGCCCACGTTGGACTCGGAATAATTTTCCTTTGGAAATTCCTCATTGTTATCATGTCTTGTTATTGAATCGGGCGAGTCAGCTCCAGCTTCAAAATCAAGATTTTAAATCAGGGAAACCAGCAGTAAATTTTTATTTTTATAAGAAACATCTTTAATTATTTCATTCGATAGTTAATAGCTCATGAGTATTGGAATAAGTGTTGACAATTTCATCTCACACAATGTTATCAACGGTGTCCTCCACAAAATTCTAAACTGTTAAGCGAAACTCCGCCAGGCCACACCCCAAGGTGCTGCCATGGCGGAACTTTGATAAAACTGATCTTCATAGCATCAAATGCTTTGAGGTCGTGATTAACCGGCATCATATAGGAAACTATTACTGGAACTAACTGGACTGAGTGTATACAGTTATATGAAGTTAAGTTATCAAACACAATCTAGCAATTACATATAAAGCCAACTAATTACAGCAAAAAATGATCAGTATAGACTGTTCAACCCCCAATTTTAGAATAACACTATTCCAATATCAAGTATAGCACTATTTTTCAGGACATGTCAAATGCAGGTAAAAGTTACAGAACATATTCTTAGCTTAGGACACATGCACATGGAAATTGAAGGTAAAAAAAAAAGGCCAATTAGTCAATTACAGATTGTCTTCAGGTTACAAACCAACTGGTATTAGACAGGCCAATTTCTTCAGCCTTAAACAACACCAATAAACGATAATTGAACGTGCAAAAAAATAATTAGCATTTGGAATGACAACAGCATGTACACAGACATGTCGAAAAATTTAGGCAAAATGAAAATTTCAGAAAAAAATTACCAAGGAGATGGTGGTCCGAGAGCAAGGGCTCCTGATTGACGGCCCGAGGTTCCGATGACGAGCGCGCGTGTATTGCGGGTGGAGGATCGCGTCGAGGGGTGGAAAATGAGGTGGACTTGAATGGCGGATCCGGATCGAGGGTTTGGATCCGGCCCGTTATTAGCGCCAATCGATCTGTGCCTTGAGAGATTATCTTCTTCCTCCTCTCCGATTTCTCCATAGGTTCTGTTCTGTATGTGTGCGTGATATCTCTGTGCCTGTTTGTAAGCGCATGCACAATATTTTGTGATAGGCTGATTGTAGAAAGAAAGAAAAATTTACCTTTTTTTTTTTGTATATAATTTTTCATAGAGCTAACAACTTGCTGCGAATTATACCAAATTCCTCTATATATAATTCTTGAATGCGCTAATTTTAAGTTACCATATATTATTCTTATTTTTTATTTAATTTATATATTAATTATTATAAATATATGTTTTTTATTTTTAAAACCTTATAACTTTTTTATTTATATTTTATTTTTGTATATAATCTACAAAATAGTAATATTTTAACGATCTTCGATTTAACATCCATATTGTATATAAAAAAATAAATAATAATTCCATTTATATTTATAAATAAAATTAATTTTACTATCAACTCAATTTAAAAATCATCAAATAACAATATAAATTATTTTATAAACATAATAAAAGTCTAATTCATTAATACACCATAAAACTATCATTTTATTGTTTTTTACATAAATTTTGGAAAAAATAAAAATTAAGTATTACATAAAATAAATTTTTTAAAACATATTATTAAATATTATTTTTCAACTTAAATAGATTATAAAAAATGAATGTTATTATGTTATTTAAAATACTAAATATAAAAGAATATCATAATTAAATATAATAAAATAATTTTGTGTTTCATAAAGTTAGAAAATAATATATTTTTACATAAATTCTATGTTATAAATTATTTGAATTTAAAATGTTTGAAAATTAATAGACGTGAGACACTGAAAATATAGTTTATATTTTCAGTGTCTCACGTCTATTAATTTTTATAAAATAATACATTTTTATAAATTGTATATTAATCATATAAAACTTTTCTTTAAAAAAATAAATAAATCAAATATATTGAGTTGTATATAATATCAGTTTTATACATATATAATTTTAAAAATTATAATTAAAAAATATGTTTTCTTAAAGAATTTAGTGTAAAAATACGAGCACCATTTGAATTAATTATCATTTCATTAATTATTTATTATTTTTGCATATTCATCATACGTAATTTTACAATAAAATTATAAGTTATTTTAATTTTTATTGTTCAAATATTAATATTAATATGTACCCGTGTAATACACGAGTATTGTACTAGTATTGTGATATTTTAGAAGAGCGTATTCAATTAACTTTTGAGGGATCTTTTAAAATTTTTAAAATTCAAGAACTTTTAACATTTTTTGATTTGAGAGGATTTCTTGTAAATCTTAGAGAACATGAGATTTTATGTGTATTTCTTCTTAGAGATCCACTAAATGTTTTATAATTTCTCTGGTCCAGTAGCTTGATTTTGCTCATTTTTGTATTTCTGTGTTATTTTTATTTTGCATATTTTTCATCTACTTTTGTTTTTCATTTTATTTTGTATGAAGATGCTATTTGGATAATTTCGTCAGAAATCGTTGTCGGGAACTTCACTGATTTAACCATGGATCATAATTCAACCGATAAATTTTAATAATTAATACCTCATCAGAAAAATTATCTTATTAAATTTTCAACACCACCTCCCTAAAGTCAAATATATGTTCTTGTNATATATAATGACGTTTATTGGTGTCACAAACTAATTTGATTATACTTGCAAAAGTGTCACGAGTTGCTTTTGCTTTACTAAATTTGATGTCACGAATTTATTCGTGACACAAGCTAGATGCGTAGGTAATTTATAATACGCGACATTTTTTTCAAAGTGCTTCGTTAGTACATATTTTGTGACACATGATATTAATGTAAGTAATTTTCAACGAGTGACTCATTTTTTAGCGCGTCATTATTATTATGAGTTGTGACATAAAATTTTATCGTTGATAAATAACAATGCATGACGGTTTTTTTATAGCGTCAACAATATGGATTATGGTGAGTTGGTAATTCTTAATACGTTACACTTTTCTTAGTGTGTCGTTATAATTTTTGGTGACAAAAAATATATGCGTTAACAATTCTCAACATGCAACGCATTTTTAGGGAATCGACGTCGTTATTATGAAGTTGGAATCACTATGACGCCTACAAGAATAGTGTTGTCAAATTAGTTACACTTATAATAATTCGCATCTACATATTAGAGATTCCACGGTAAAAAATGGCGATAGAATTGTATAAGTATCATAACGTAATTACACTTTTAGGTCAATGTTGTCATATTAATAAAAATTGTGACATTTTCTAAAAAATGTGACATTATTTTAATAGAGTTTTCAAAATTTGTCGCTATATAACTAGACATAAAGACAATTTTGTATAAAACTTTATAATTTAACTACCCTTTTAAATAAATTTTTTCATTATTGATTAACATGGTGACACTTTTTAAAAAGTAACAAGATTTGATTACATTATTCAAAAAGCATTGTTATAATTTATTTTTGTAGTACCTTTTAAAGAGTCACAAACACTTCAATTTTAACTACACTTTTATAAAAAGTCACATATTTATGTTGTCAAAACTTTTTTTGTTGCAGTGTTGGTTACTTGGTTAGGAAATCATAGCGAAGATTTTTAGGAGAGTGCATTACTTTATCCATGATTTGTTAGCACGTCCTTCTCGATAATCATTCATTCACCATGTGAAAAGCATGTCATGATTTTAATTTATGTGAAACTAGGTGCTTGGAGGAAATTTAAAACTTAAAACATAAAAGCCAACAAAATTGGCTAATTAAGAGAGCTGAGATTGCGAAGAGTTCATCCAAAATATGTAATTAAAAAATTTTAAATTTTGTAAATATTCCACGGTCTCCAAGGTGAATAAGTGCTATTTACCTACTGGAGTATAACATATTATTTCAGTCAATATTTTACATAAATTACCTAAATTTGCATGTTAGTCATGAGTGGAATCTATATATATATAATTGCTAGCTAAGCAATAAATTTTACCTAATAAATAAAACTTAAATTTTACTTATGTGGCAAATCATTAATAAAACCTAATAAATAGAACCTAATAAATTTTATTTATGTGGCATTAATACACCCAATCTCATTAATAAGAAAATATTTCATTACATTTTTTGGGTTAATTAAGACAAAAATTATTATATTTTATGTTAATTGATAATAATTATATTTTTTATTGAATAATATAATAGTTAATATTAAAATTAGTAATTATATTTTATACTAAATAATATATGAAAGTTACATAAAATTATATTTTACACTAAAATCAATATTTTTTTATTTGATGAGGATGTTGTTTATTAGTAAAATAATTTTTTTTATGTCATAGTAAAATTTCTTAAAATCATATAAGCAATTGTTATAATAAATGTAATATTTTTCAGCTAATTAATTGGTCATGATCACTCAAAATTATAAAAATTATATATTTATTGCATTTTATGCATTCAACATAGTGATTCATATACAATCAAATCGTGTGTACTATTTATTTTAACCAATAATCAAATTTTAAAATATAATACTATTATATAATTTATAATTTTAATATTATGTACATAAATATAACTTATAATACTATATGTTTGAAATATAATATAATTATATAACTTATAATTTTTATATTATATACATAAATATAACTTATAATATTTAATTTTATTTACATCTGTGCAAATGCACAGACTCAAATACTAGTATGAGATGAATACCAAATTAATACATAAATGCTATATAAAACAAACAAAATCTCGGACTCTAATTTGTAACATAAATACAAATGGCCAAATATTTTCCATCAGAATTTGCAGTAATTCCACATTTACTCCAACATCAAAGTATACAACAGTATAAATTCCTCACTTCATAAAGTTTCAAAATTGCGAATTGCAAAAACCCAATTAATAATATAAAAAAAAAAAGCATTTTACAAAATTTTTGCACTAAAAAAATAAACGGAAAAATGTCAAAGCAGACTCAGAAATTCAGCTGCACTAGTGCTTCTCAAAAAATTAAAATTTCCAGCAAACAAATCCAACCTAACAAATACCGTGCTAGCAAGCACCTCAATACGGCGGACGGCGAAGGGCACAAAAGTGGCGGCGCAAACTTACCCGACAACGCCCGCCTCCTATTGGAAAATTTCAAATCTCTCTACGAAGAGGATTTTCACCGCGAGAAGGCGACAATCAAGGAACAACACGCCCAATCGATTTTATTAAACAGACCGGAGGGGGGAAATACCCTGGCTCCGCCGCCGAAGAACTTCTCCGGCGAAAATTCAGAGGCGGAGAAGGGAAAAGAGGAGATCGAGGCGGACGATTTCATCGCAATCCTGAAGTATTCGCCGAGTCCGTACAGGGAATTCCGGCGGTCGATGGCGGAGATGGTGGAGGTGCGCCTGGGCCGCGGCGGGAAAGTCGATTGGGATTTTCTGGAGGAGCTTTTGTTTCGTTATTTGGATCTGAACAACGAGAAGGCTCACAGGAACGTGCTGCGCGCTTTTGTGGATTTGGTCGTCGTCTTGCACGAGAACGATTGGAGATCGCCGGAGCGGCATCGTCGGCCGTGGGACGGGGTCGGAGGTGGTGGTGGGAGGTTGCTGAAAGGGGAGATGTAGTGGGTGCATAAATTTTATTTCTTTTTCTTTACTGTTTTTTGTATTATTATTATTATTATGGAATTTTTTTTTCCTAAAGTTGTATTAAAATTATCATACATTAGATAATAAAATTCTGAAGTAACTGATTGTTCTTGGATTTTTACATTTACTTCAGTAGTTCAACACGTGGGATGCACAAATTGTATTTAATTAAGAAGTATTATAAGTTAAAGTGTATTAATAAATAAATAAAATTATAATACTTAGAGAAATTTTCCGATCATATAATGTTAGTTAAAAAAAATCATATATTATTAAAATCTCCTTGTACAATATTATTAGTTTAATTATTGAGCAACTCATCGTTTCCACAAACTAATATTTTTAACTTATTTCTATTAGTTACACGCGAAACCGCAACATATAGTTCGTCGTGACTAAAAATAGATTTGTTCAAGAACAGACCAGCGTGCGATAAACTCTAACCCTGACGCTTGTTTATGGTTATGACATATGAAACCATAAGTGTGAGCTGCCGCCTCTGGAACTTAAATGGAACCCTAAGATTGAAAAGAGTTATATTTATTATAGGAATCAACACCTTCTCACCAGCGTGATCACCCGTCAATATCTTGCATTCGAGCACATGAGTGTAGAGTTTGATCACAACCAATCGTGTCCCATTGCACAGTATCATAGAATAGTCCATGTTCCGTAACAACATGACCAGAGTTCTTATCTTCAAATGCAACTCATCGTTCGGTGTTCCTGAACACTTAATGCTATTCAAGAACTCGGGCGTGTGGAGATCTACTAAGATCATTGCAAAATCAGACTTAGACATACTTGTAGTGCTCCGTTCGTTTAATAAGAGCCAGTTTATTTTATTATCATGCATGCATTTTTACATCATTTATTTATTAGCTCGACTAAAATTCTAATAAGCTTATTTAAATTGTGTAGATGTCCTCATCTACTTAAATTGTTCCAATTTTAAATTCAAGTGTAAATTCATTTGCTAGCCTTTTCTAACCATTTTTTCTCCAAGCAAAAGGCCAAGAGATTTCGGACCCTTGTGCATGAGAAATCCCTTATATTTTGAATTTCTTGGCCAAAGCAGGAATTTCAAATCATTTTTTTCAAAGATGTTTGTAATCTCCCTAAGCACCATTTTTCAGCCATGTTGAGGTTTATCAAAAGTTATGCCTTATTTAGGCTTAACTTATAACTTCCAAATATGCCTCATCTTGCCGTTTTTCCTTGGCTTTTAACACCAAAATTTCGGTCAAGGCAACAAAGGTTTTGGGGCAAAGATAAATGCAAGATAAAATCCTTTTCAAATTTGGCAACATCCTCAAATTAATTCCATAAATCAAACATTCAGTTTTAAGCAATTGACCTTTCTTTTTCTTTGGTTATAACCTATCAAAATTTACTTCAAGTGTCCATATACAACCATTTATTTTTCCACAAGAAATCTCTATCTTTAAGCCCCTCAATCCTTAACATTTCTTCTTCTTGTGAGAACAAGAAAATTTTCTCATCAAATTCTTCCACTTTTCCTCCAAAATCTTTTTTTTTTTCCCAAAGCAATGGCCACCCTTCCTCCTCTCCAAAAATTCGACGAGAGCCTCATCATCCGAGGGAGGGACACCAGAGGACCGAGCCTCGTCCGCGGCCAAGCACGAGGGTTTTTTATTTTTTGGTACAAAGAGAGAGACCTTCCAGAACATTCAAGAAAGAAGGTCAAAGGACTCAAGCTTGAATGCCAAAGTTGAGTACTGGGCCGAGCTGCCTACTGAGATAAGATGGATACTGATAAGCGGCAACATAAATAGACAAGGTCTTTAGCAACCGAGAGCATTACCCGAGGAAGAGTCGAGGCCATATGCGTTTGAGAGTATTCGAGAGCATCCATGCCGAGCCTTCGATCCGATCCGAATTTATATTTTTTAATTGCAAGAAGAGAGGTAGCAACCAAATCCTCTCTTTCTTAAGAAATATACTTGATCTTAAAAAGGAATTTAAGATTTAATTTCATTTTTGAGAAGAAAGGAGTTCATGTTAAGAGATGTTTTATGTTCAAGAAGAAATTCAGAAGTTTGAATTCTTGAAGCTTTGAGTTTTGTGTGAAATTTTACACCATGAAAACTCTAGCCTATTCATGCCTTAAAATGTTGATTTATTATGTGAAACTCTGAAGCCTTGAGATGTGTTATTTGGAGCCACTTATGCCATGAACTTTTAGCTTATATTATGTTTTAAGAGTTGTGATTATGTGAGTTAAATTGGTTAAAGTTGGTGGAAGAGAAAGAACCCGAGTTTTGGCCTAGGGTGATTATGTTTTCCCTGCGTGTTGTATGTTGTTTTCTCGCTGTTTTTTACCTCCAAAACGCAGTCGAATGTTTTCAAAATCTTCATGTGATTTGAAGTTCAGTCTCTTATGTTTCATCTAAAACAATAATCAAGTGATTATCAATTTACAATGAGAGTTATGAAGAAAGTTTGTTCGTTGCGCAGTCAGTCTTCTTTGAAAATCTTGGTCGTATAAATATGTACGTCCTTTGCTATTTTGGCCATCGTATTTTAGTCGAACGATTTTATTATCTTAACATGAATTGAATATGAGTATCTTATATTGAAACAGGTGCAAGAATCACAAGATTATCTCTTTTACACTGAAAGTTATGTCCAACGTATGATTATCGCGCAGTATGTCTTTCTTGTCAACCGGTGTTGCACTGCAGTCTGTATTACTTTGTTGTTTTGAACCTTTTCTTGTGAACTGACACTTTTGATATCTTCAAATGATTTTTAGATTTGTCTCTTATGTTTCAAAGGGTACAAAAATCATTCATATGTCTTTTTTTATACAAAACGTTATGTGTAAAATACACAGACTGCACATGTTGTTTTTCGTCCAGTTTCTGCAGCATCTTAATATTGTGCTTTCGGCTTATTACTCTTTTATAGAATATTATTTTGGACTTTGAGTCTTCACCAATGTTGTAGACATGCCTCTTGGTGTTTGGTAGGATAAAAAATTAGCGCTGTGCTCAATTTAGAATGTCGCATGAGCCTAAGTGTTAGCTTGAGCCAAGCCGAGCTAGCTTTCAGTTTCGAGAACCTTTTTCTTAACCCTATTTTACCCTTAGCTGAGAGTTCTAAAAATAAAGTAAAGTTATTAAATAATTTACTGAGGAAGATGAGTTATTTATGTAAGTTAAATTTTTAATTGTAGATAACGTGGAGTCGAGCCCTCGAGCAGTTCATTGATCATACTTTCAGTCGTTCATTTCCAAACATCAGGTGTGGATTCTATACTATGGTTTATTCATTATAACCATGTGGTAGTATAGTTTTGATGTGTATGTGAGTATTGGCCTAGCTGGCCGAGTTATTAGTTTCTCTTACACAGTACATGGGGGACTGGTTGTTGTCGGGCAGTCCTATACATTACTTGCAGGACCGGTTGATGCCGGGCAGCCCTACACAGTACTTGCGGGACCGGTTGATGCTGGACAGCCCTACACATACTTGCAGGACCGGTTGGTTCTTCCTCTTCAGACTCCTCCTCGTCACCTTCGATGGCGTACAACTGTTGCTTGCACTGATGACTCAGCATGAATTTTTCATTGCATCGGAAGCATAACCCTTGTTTATCTGTTGTTGCCTCTCCTCTTCTAACATCTTTTCCTGGCTCATCGTCGCTGAACTCCTGGCCTTGGGCGTGGTCTCCAAGTAAGTCCGTGGCTCCATGCGCGTCGATTCTGCGCACGTCTCACTATCGCGTGCGTACGAGCGGCCCACCTTACGCACCGCGACATTACACATGCGTGCAGCCTCCACGACATCCCGCAAGTTTCTTGACTTCTCGAGCCTAACCTCAAAGGCAAGATCCGGCTTAAGGCCCCCAACGAACGCGGCTATGAGTGCTCGCTCCGGCCAACCGCTTACATGATTAGCTAGACATTCGAACTCCCTTTGATAGTCCCTTAGGCTGCCCGTTTGCCTAATTCATGTCAAGGACTCATCAAAATCATAATATTCGGATGGCTCAAACCTCGCGATCAGCCTCTTTTTGAATTCCCTCCACTTTAATCATTTGGCTTTTTTCCCATAAACGTGTGAAATCCATTGCCACCATGTATTCGCTTCTCTATCAAGATAATACGCGGCGTACTTAACACGTTCAGCCTTTGGAATCTCGTTAAGGTCAAAATATTGAGTAGCTCGACTCAACCATGCCTCCGAATCCTCTCCCTTGAACGTGGAAAGAACAATCTTTATTTTTTGAACCTCTGTTCCCTATGTCGCTGCGAACCCCTAGACCCCCGTGACCGGTGGTCCGTCTCCTCTTCATCCTCGCTGTCCTCAGCCTCCAAAGATGAGTATTCCTCCGAAGAAGACTAGGATGTAGGCTTTCTCGATGACCTTTGATCACGCAGTTGAAGTTTCGCGGCTAAGGATTGAATTGATTCGGATAGTGATTGCTCGAGCTTTGCCAATTGGTGGTTTCTGGCATGTTGAATGTCTTGCACGGTGTTCATGTCAGTTTTCAAGGATTGCACATCTTTGATCAAGGGATTCAACCCACTCTCCAATTGCTCGATCCTTTCCTTATGCGTATTCGTCATATTTTTTTCCTCTCTTTATTTTCCTCTCGTTTTTTTTTTCTTATAATTTTTTTTTCTACTAAAACCCACGAATTTAACCTGAACTGATGCTATAAATATATATTTTTATTCACGCAAAAAACTCAAAAATTCAAAAAAGTATTATTTTTTTATATAAATATGAAACTAAAGAGCTAAATAAAATACACGATGAACACCTCTCAATTAAAGCACCAATGAAGAGGATCGTGCATTTCCGTAACTCGATTTTCCTCAAAACCCGCGCCGACACCTTGATTTCTAAGTGATATGTTGCTAATACGCGCGTCGAGGCCTTCGTACTTCGCGCTGGTGTGAAGAAACTCAAATATTGGTCCTATTTTTAACACGATTTTGTATATA